GTTGGAATTAGGCACCACCAGACGGGAAGGGGGGGAGGGCTTCGGGCCCGACTCGGCCCCAGGCAACCTGGAGCCCCTGTAACCCCTGAGGCCCCGGCTGTACGAGCCCGACTGGGCAGCCTCACCTAGGGTTGAAGTCCTGGAAGAGGCCTCTCAGGTTCATGGCGGAGAGTGTCGCCGCGGCGCCCCCGCTCCCGCCGCGCAGCCAGCCTTTTCCAGCGGGCTCTGGGGGCCAGCGCAGCTCTTCCCCGCCGCCGCTCCAGAAACCTGAGCCGCCGCCTCGCCGCGCCCCACCAGCCAGGCTTCCGTAGGGTAACGCGCATGCGCCCCACCCCGTCCGCGACGGCTCCGCCCACCCGCCTGGGAAGCGGTGGCGGCGCAAGCCCCCTGGGCCCATTCCTGGATAGAGGACAAGTCTTCCCAGTCACTGCCTACCCCTGGACATTTATTTATGCACCGAAGGCTGACCTCGGGTTACCCGAGTGGCACGGGTGAGAATGAGCATTTGGTTGACTCATCTCACCTGACAGTGAATCCCAAAGTCTTTCTCCACGCCTCATCAAACTCCCGGCCACTACTTGGTCATAGGCTGGACGTCCCCAAACTCAGGTTTCCTGGAAACAAAGTCTTCTCTGTCCAGACCTCCTGGCCCTCTGGAGCATCCTCTCCACGTGGCCAGCAGCCTCCTCTCGAAATGCCAAAACTGAATTCGCAGTTTCTTAACTTGGCCAGCCAAAATCAGATCCTCCCTAAGCTGGCCCAGAGTTGCACCGCCCCCCTCACATGGCCTCTTTCACAACCCCAAGCCATCCTGCATATAACTCCCATCCATACAACTCATACACATCTGTAACCCCCAGTTTTTCTGCTCTGTAAAATGGAAAGGATAAAACCTACTTCTCAAGATGGTTGGGAAGATTGGGCTCCTAACCTCAAGGCCAGCAGTTCGAAACTACCAGTTGCTCTGAGGGAGAAAGAGTGGGCTTTCTACCCCTGTCAAGAGTTAACAGTCTCAAAAACCCACAGGGGCAGTTCTCTATTCTATACAGAATCAACTGGATGGAAGTGAAAGTGAGGGAACATTGAACGAGAGTGGGTGTGTGACATACTGGCATCTCTGTATCTCCACTCACTGCTATCGAGTGGATGCCGACTCATAGCAACCCTATAAGACAGAGTAAAACTGCCCCTGTGGGTTTCTGAGACTCTTTATGAGACTAGAAAACCTTATCTTTCTACCATCGATCAGCTAGTGGTTTTGTGTAGTATTAAATTTAAAAAAATTGGCTCTGGGGAGGTGAAGGGCCAGCCCCACCCGCTGCTACTACTATTACTACTACTCAGATTCAGTAATACTACTTCTGGGTTCAGTAATGCACAATTGTACGGTTGAGATATATAAGCATTATATTAAAGTCAT